AAATAATTTAAAAGGCATGAAAACCTCCCTTCCTTAATTATTTTTCTTAAGGTTAACTTTATAATTTACTCCTAGCTTATATAAGTTTAGCTTATTTGCTTTCTTTTTCTTAAATAGCAATAATAAGTTATAAAATTCTAAGGGAATCCTTTTATAAAATTCTTTATTTATTAAGAGCTTTTTTCCCTATAAAGCCTTATTTATATTCATTATAAATATTGTAAATATTAATAATTTTATAGTAGATTTCCTATAAATTTTCTTAATTCTCCTTATATAAGAGATAAATATAAATCCAAAGATATATATAATATATGCTAGCTTAATAATACATCTTAATAACTTTTTTTAGTTAATATAAGGTATTTATTTTCTTATGTAATTATGCTAAATTTCCTATTAATATAGCATAAAATATGCCTTATTTATTATTAATTATGGTTTTTTCAATATTAAAGGAAATTTTAGGTAAGGAATTATATAGGCATAAACTAATTCTTTATATTTTTTAAGTTTTAAAAAGAATTTTGCAATTCCCTAGGTAATTATTATAATAACTTTAAGCATTACCCCCTTAATATCCTTAAGTTTAATTAATTATATAAATATATTTATTTATTAAGCTACTTCTTTATTTATTATAGCAAAATATTTATAACCTTTATTTATTAATATAATTTCCTAATTAACTTTATTAATAACTATATAAATAAAAGTAAATTCCATTTTTATTATTATAAGTACTACTTAATCATAACTATTTTTTTAAGCTTTAAGGCCTAACTTCGCCTTAAAGCTATTCTTTTTCAACTTTAAAGGCTTTGAATTCCTCTTCCTAATCCTTAAATAAAATTAGCTAAATTACCTATATAAAGTTAACGTGAATTAATAAATTCCCCTTACTTTTGCTTAAATTTAAGGGTAGTGCATATAAATATTGCTTTTAAAAATATCCTAAAGCATCGCAGCATTCATATAGCTTATTTTAAAAGCATGCTTTTCTTTCCTCCTTAATTACCCACCTAACCTTTTATCACCTATTAAGATTTCCAAACCTTCCGCTTAATTAATTCCTTTTTTTATATTTTTCTTATAAGTTCTTACTTTTTATAATGCAATTTATATATATATTTATATCCCCATTTTAATTAAATATAAATCCTATATTATTTTTTAATAATTACTACTTAGCAACTAGCTAAGAAAGTATGGGAATTGCGTTTAACGCTATTATTATTTTCTTTACTTAGTATTTATTTACCAACCCTTTAAATTCATTAATTTATTTAAATCTCTAGGCTATTTATTAAATAATTACTATATATCCTTTAAAGTTTGCTAAAAAAGCTATAATAATAAGCTTATTCTTAAGGACTTTTACTATTCCTTATTATAGCTATGCAATGCAAGATTTATTATTCTATGCATAATCTTTAGCTTTTATAAGGGCGCTTTTAAAATCCGCTATAAATTTACTAAAAATCTAGCCATTTTCTTACTTTAATTTAATTAAGTTATCTTAACCCTTTTCCTTATAAATAATAATGGAAAATATTTAATTTATATATAATACTAGCTTTTTTAAGTTAAAGTCCTTATTAACGCTTCCGTTTTCTTAAAATACTTAAATCTTAAACCTTTATTTTCCGCCTAAACTTTAATACATCCCATATTATGCTTTTAAATTTCTGCTAATATAACCCGCTAATTTATCCACCTTAAGTTTTAAGAGTAAAAAGGCTTAAAAATTAGTATATTCATTAAATTTTCTATTTTAAGTTAGTTATAATAATGCTTTTTACATTAAACCTATTAACGCTGCTTTAAAGTATAAGTTGGGAATTATTATAAGCCCTTTAAAAGTATAAGGATTTTACTTAATCTTTATAGCGTTTAACTTAGCTATTACTAAGGAGGGTATTTTTATAAATTTTATAAAAAGCAAATCTTATAATAATTTTCTCTTTAAGAATTCCTTTAATTCTTACATAGTTTTTTAAAGCATGTTAATAGCGATATAAGTAGTATTTTCCATTATTTACCTTATTATCCCCTTTAATAAGCTTTAATTTTATAGTGCTATATATATTATATGCTTAAAGTTTAAGTTAAAAATAATTTAATTAAGAAGTTTAATTTCTTAAAAAGAAAATAAGTTTCCTACTTAATTTTAGCTAGCGCTCTTTTATCCCTTATATTCTTATTATTATGGTAATATATTTAATATTATACTTTTAATCTTCTTTGCTATTAAAATTATAAAAGATTGAATAATAATTAAACCTAATGTAATGATTTTAAGTAAGGTTAATGCATAATAAAGGTTATAGCTAAGCTAGGTTTAATAAAAGAAGGAAAAGGAGAAGAATCTTAATAATATCTTTGGTTTCCGCGGCTTTATACTCAGAAACCCCTAAAAGATTCGGCCCAGCTAAATCCCTATACCTATGGGCCATGCTCATAACAAATATAGCCTATATTTAAAATTACTTCCTTCTTAAGGGTAAACCTTATAGCTAAAATTTTTATAATAATATTTATATATTAAAAGTTTAAGTAATAAGGGTTATTATTATTTTATAAACACTTAAGTTATTAACTTATATTTAATAAACATTCTTAATTAAATTTCGCAATTTAATACTTATATATTAATCTTATATATATTTTTATTTATTAACTTAATTAATATTAAATAATCTCTTAATAATCCCTTACATTTAATTTCTTTCCTTTATTTAAATACCTTATTTATTAACCTTTATAACTTATCTTACCCATCCTTCCTCCATAATTAATTAATCTTTATTTAATTATAAAAATTAAGCATAATTAAGCTTAAGCTAAATTAAATTAAAGTATATTATAAGCTAAAACTTAAATAATAATATTATTAATTTAAGGATTTAGTTTAATCCTTATTTAACTTAAACGCTATAAGCAATAAAAGCATAAGTTTATAAAATATATTATAAATAAAATATTTATATAATAAAAGTAATAATTTATGCTTTATTAATTAATATAATTAAGATAATTTACTATATATAATTATTAAAATAACCTTTATTTATTAATTATATACTTTAATAAAATAATTAACCTTTAATTCCTTAATAATAATTTAAGCCTTTTTATATACTTGCCTTTTATAAGCACTTTATATAATTAAATAAATACATACCTTTAAATTAATTTAATTAATTAATAAATTTAAACTTAGCAATTTTAAGTTTAATTTAACTTTTTTTCTTATATACTTTTTAAAGGCATGCATTAATTACTTAATTAAAGATTGCTAATATAATTATAAATATATTATAAGGGGATAGCAGCATTAAGCATAATAAGCATTATAGGTAATAAGCATTATGGGCAATTAACATTAAAGCACTGACAGGCAAGGGTTATGTGCTACCATACATAACTACCCTTAAATAATCTATAGCCAAAGGGAGGTTCTGCAGCCTACGGCTGCAACCCTCCTTCCTTTTATATAGCCAATTTAAATACAACTAATCTGCTATTAACCAACATATATTAACCCAGCCAACACTTATAATAAATGATTAAATTAATAAAGAATAAATAAGTAATTAAATTAAAAACAAGGAATTTTTTTAACTCTTTATATTAAAGATTAAAATTATATTATAATATATTACAGCATAGTAAAAATAACTATATATTAATAATAAACAAATCATGCTAAATACATATAAAGTTAATATAACGGTATGGTGCTTATATACTGCTGGGTATTTCCAATTGCGATTGGAAATTACTAGTCTTTTAGCCAAGCAGTCTATTTGCTAGCAGTAATAGATTCGTCTCAGTCATATTATTAAAATATGGATAGCATACCACTATTATATCGCCATTTCATTAAATTGCTTACAGCACCTATACGAAACCCCCCCCCCCTGGTAGGTGGAGAAAGATGCCGGCGGATTCAACTATACCGACTCCCACACGCTGATCAAGCTGGACAACAAGTGGACCATCATCGGAAAGACTTTTCATACCCACGCCTCATAGTTATTTTGGAGGAGATACTCAGGATCAGGCGCATGCGTTGAGGGATGAGAAAGTCTGGGAGGGAAGGATAATCTAGGTGCAATACTTGATCTGTGCTCCCTCTTCGCATCGATTTAATGGTCATGGTCCTGTGACTTTCGAAGGCAAGAACTTCGACCGTGCGCAGTGAAGTACTCTGTCTCAATCTGTCCCGGCGAATCAGTTCTGCGTGACAGTCGATATGACTGGCATATAAAGGACTTCTAAGTCTCCCTAAATGCAGACAGAATCGCGGTTGTAAAGTTTCGGGAGTGGCATGCCGTCAAGGGCAAGCTCAAGTGGGAGGATAACATGCGCCAGTTTTGATGAAGTGAAGCGAGTCTTTTCCAAGCTATTCCTCTGGATGCACAACAATGTGGCCCTCCAGTGACGGCCGAATTAATTGAGAGGCAAGTAAATAGTTGGTGCTCATCTTACTTTGATATATCCCAGGATAGCCTTTAGTATGAGCGTCGGATTTTACTAGTCACCCTGTCCCCGGGGCTGACACTAAATGTTCCAACGGAATCCTTCCAGTCTTAATCTCAGTCCTGGCACCATGTCGTTTCTCGCATTTGGAATCCATGCTTTGAAGCAGTGTACACGTTGAGCTTTAACATAAATTACTTCAATCGTAGGGTAAGACTTTAATGGAGAATTGGATGAACGGCGCGTGAGTTCAATTTCTGGGGTTGCCGCCCAGGGCCGTTCTAACAGGAGAAGTGAAGCCAATAAGCATGGCGGATGCAACGTCTCACTAGCCCCGACGCCAGCATCCTAGTCCAAGGTGTAGTCGTGGCATCGTGCTTGAGAAGGAATACAACCCTTCGCAGATTTGGTAAGCCAACTTGATCCATTTTACCATCTGTGACAGAAGCGCGAGGTTTGCCCTCACGACGCCGTCCCCAAACTTCCTTTATTGCTTATCCATTCATCAGACCGACATGTCCGTCTCATTTGGTACGCTTTGGACGCAGCACTTCCCGCCAGCGGGACCGCTCACCGAGGCCAACTTGCCAAACCAGGCTGGAAAGGTCTTTATCGTGACGGGCGGATCAAATGGACTGGGGTACGAGCTTTCACGCCAGCTATACGGCGCCGGCGGTAAGGTTTACATCCTTACCCGTTCCAAAGGGCGGACAGATAGCGCCATTGCCAAGATCAAAGCGCAATACGAGGCCGAAGATGCTGGAAAGCAGAGGGGAAGTCTGGAATTCATACCCATGGACTTGATGGACTTCGAGACCGTCAAGGCCGCCGCTCAGCACTTCCTGAATCGGGAGGGCCCAAACGGGCGTTTGGATATCCTGTCAGTCAATGCCTCCCAGCCTCAGAACTTCTTTATCGTGAAATACTGAGTTTGTGACAGGTTCAACAATGCAGGCACTGGAGCTCGGAAAGACGCTCCGGTTGGGAAACAGGGCCATGAGTACCACTTTACGACGAACGTCCTCGGCTCTTATCTTTTGACCCGGCTCCTCTCGCCAATCCTCTCCAGCACCGCAAAACAGGCACCACCAGGTAGCGTGCGGGTAACATGGCCGGGGTCTCTCCTCGTCGAGAACGGAAGCCCAAAGGACGGCGTGCGCAAGGAATTTCTGGACAACACCGGGTCGCCCAAGGACTTGAACATCGGCCAGGATGAGCTCTACAGCTCGACCAAGGCGGCGTGCTACTTCCTGGCGTCCGAGTTTGCGCGCCGCCAGCCCAACAGCGGTGGTGTCTTGCACATTGCCGGCAACCCGGGCAACTACGTCACGGGCATGTGGGATCATGTGCCGAATTGGCTTTACTTCCTTGTCTGGCCTCTGCTACGAAATGCCTCACCCCACGGGGCGGACACTTGGCTGTGGATGGGCTTTTCCGATGAGGTTACGCTTGAGGATGCCGCTGCAGGGCGGTATGCGATGTGTGATGGCAGGTGGCATCCAGGACAGCGAGGAGATCTCGTTGCGGCATTGCGCGGACGTGAGGAGGGAGGAACAGGGCGGGCGAGTGAGGTTTATGACTGGTGTGAAGATAAAGTGGCCGAGTTTCTTGAGTGAAGGGGATGGTGTATCTAATTATTTGCAGAGCACCCGCAAATAAAACATATGGAACTGTTGATCTGTACTTAGGGTAAGAATAGGACTAGGATGGATTGCAGATGTTAACTGCCCCAGACAAGAAAAATACATGGTTCCCTTATTCAACAGGCCTTGGAAGACCTTGTAATACCAAAGTGTCTCCATTGATGATAATATTTCCAGGATGAGACTGTTCACACAGAACTAACGACAGGAGTTGTGCCTCATCGAGACGCTGCGGGATTTACTTTTGACTACTCCCGTAATTTAGTCACGGTTCGGTCCGTTTAGCTCCGTAAATCCCATAACCATCCTACAATACCTTATGTACATGCAGTGCCCCAACTACCAGATGCAGGCGCAGCATGATTTAGTCTTTTATCATCCCACATGTGGCAATTTAGTGATCCGTTCACTGCACATCACGCTGTGTCGCCTTGATCTGTGAAGATGATTACCACGTAGTCCAGCCCCGGTTCCGAGCCTCCTGCCAAGCATCCTGTCCAAAATTCTGCTGTGGAACTCTATCCCACATGAAGTATCCCATAGATCCCACTGAAAATCGCGGCGCAGGTAGCTGCCTGCCATACCCTGGACTGTTCTCGCTCAGAGCCTCGACCTTGACGTACGTATCTGGGAGCACGTCAGGCTCCCGGGGGTCTCCCGGATCCTTGCTGAACTTTTCGTAGTCCTCACGAGACAGTGGGTCGAATTCGACACACTTCATGGTCTGATCTCCGCCCCGCCAGTCCGCCTCGTCACAGATGTATATGAGACCATGGTAGCGATATCTGGCTTTGTCGTGGACGTAAGAAGGGACCAGTCCTGGCATCTTGGTGCTGATATCACTGGGCCGCTCGTCCCGGCCGACAGCATCGACTTGTGTCCAGAAACTGCCTCGAGCGCTTTTCTCGGCCCGGTAATGCTTCATGCAATCCTCTTGACTGCCACTGGGGATGAAGTACAGATCTAGACGGAACTCGACGACGTTTGAGCCGTATAGCGGACCCTGCGTTATCGTCTGATGTAGCAATGCGGCGTGACAGTTGCTAGGAGAGGCATCTGGGTGGGTGAAGTAAATTGAGAAACTGTAGAGGAACGGAAGAGGACTGGAGCTCTCGAATACTACGAGAGCTGGCTTGTCTGCATGGTTTTGGAAGGAGTCGACATGGGTTTTCCCGTTCCGAGGGCCTAGTGGACCAAATCCTGAGGCCATCGACAAATAAATAACGAGTAGCACTTGAGACTCAAATACAAAGGATGAAAAATGGGGGAGCCTTTATTTGACTTGGTGCTTGGGCGTGTGTGCCAAGTGGTTGGATGTTGTCTGAACTGCCAAAGAGCATGACTGTGTCGCTTCAAAATATGCTGATGAGTATGGCAAGCCTGAATGCTGGGAATGGGCTGCTACTTGTAGATTTGAATCAACCCTTGGAGTGGATTAGCGCCCGTCTGCGGGGTACTTATTGCCCGTTGTATGTGACGACCCGAGTATGAAAGAAGCAATTGCTTTCAACCGAAATCGTATAGCTAGAAAGTGGCAGCATTGCGGCAGGACTGATTGAAACAGCCTCCTTGCAAACTTGAGACACGTAACTGCTCTCACGAATCTTGTTTCGCCCCGTTGCTTTCTTTTAAATGAAGCTACGGTGAAATCCCTGACCAGTGACTCCAGGGAAGAATTTGATTGAGGCGAAGGGAAACGGAATAGGAATTCTAAATAATCTTCTATGTTACTAGTAGGCTATCCATATAGCTTTCAGTGGTCCGCTCGACACATCGATGATGAAGCCGATCTTGTTGCGCATCTATTCTAAAACTATTGCATGCGATCTGTGAGAAACCTAGGCTTACCACCGATCCACACAAAACAAAGCAAAGCCGTCGCCAAGCTAATTGAGGCCAACACAACATTCATGTTGCCATATCCAAGTACCTGCTTGAGCTCTCCTGCTAGGGCAGGGCCAACGGCCAACCCGAGGCCAAATACCATCGAATTCAGGCCGTATAGCTGCGCGTACGGTCCTTGGTCGCCGAAGAAGTCGGGATTCGCTTCATAATACTTCTGTACGACGGACCCTGCCTCGACTATAGACGGCGCACCAATGATGGCCAGCCCGACGCCACAGAGCGCGAGCAGACCACCATATAGCAATATTTGATCTTTGCCCCCAGGCTGAGGCAGGCGGAGCAGAATGAGAACGGGTACGAGGAAGCTGTAGCCGATGACTGCACAAGGCTTCGTCCCGTAACGGTCGACAAACCAACCGGCGAGTGGTCCAATGACTAGGTCGAAGGCTCCAAGGGGCAGGAAAAGCAGCCCGCCTTTAAGCGAGTTAAACCCGAAGAGTTCCTTTGCCGTCGTAGGTACTGTGGCATCAAAGCTGCCCAGCAGTAGGGCCTGGACAAATGCGACGAGGAGGGCGGTGAGCAGCCTCGGGTCCGTCATACACGGCAAGATGGTGATCTTCCGCGCGATCGCAGGCTGGTCCTTGGACAGTTTGAAGTAATGCTTTTCCTTCTTGCCCAGGAGGGGTTCCTCCTCCCCTTGCTCGCTGTGTGCCTGATTCGAATCATGGCCATCGGTGTTGTGACCCTGGACAGCTTCGAGGTCCTCGACAGACTGCGGATCTGCTGCACCGTAGCGCTTCGCAACTTTCTTCTCGATCACGAGCACTCGCATAATGAAATCAATAGCCAGTATAGCCACGCCGATGCCGAAGACACCGGCGTAACCGGTCTTCTCATATAGAACGCCCCCGAGAAGCGGCGCCAGCAGATTCCCGACTGAGATGAAAGAAAAGATCTGTATCTGGTTAGAGAAATGCTTGTCTCTATCTCAATTTCGCATGAAACTCACCGAGCCAATCGTCTTGCCAAGGTTCTCAGGCCCTACGGTCTCCAAGCACAGGGCCAGCCCTATCGTCCAGACGAAACCACCGCTGATACCTTGGAGCAGCCTCGCCACGACCAGCACGGGCATGCTGGTACCGAGGAAGAGCAAGAGCGTCGCAAGCATAAGTGCAACCAGCCCCAAGAGAAAAGGCGCCTGCCTGGTAGAGGTCTTGTCCGCGATGTAGCCGGCGACGGGACTGAAAAGCACGGAAGCCCCGGCATACGCAGCTAGCAGCCCGTCGACGTTTGACTGCACCTGGTCGTCCGGGAGGCCGACGCGGTCCTGTAGCATGTATGGGAGGATGGGGACGACGAGGCCATAGAGGAAGAGGTCCGTGAAGAGGCCCACGGCTACCGTCGACGCGATGAAGAAGGTGTTGCTCCTCCATGACAACCCGGCGGGTTTAACGCTGTAGTCATTGCCGATCTGGAGGGTGCTTCTCACCTGGCCTAGGAGGCGCCTGCTCAAGGATGACATGGCGGCCGACCTGACAGGCACCTAGAGGGCTGGTATATGGGCTGCGAGTTCGTTCTTCTATACTGTAGCGTTGATGTTGGAAAGCCGTCAGCTCCTGGTCGTTTGGGAACTTACAATCGTAGTGGTGGGTAAGGTCAAGAAATCATGGCGCTTGTGCGGCAGGTACCAGCGATAGTGATGCAATACAGTACACCGCTCTGACGTCGTCCATTCATGGGGCTGTCGTGGGGCTGTCGTAGGGCTGAGACCACAAGATGTGCTGTGAACCACGAAGGGTTAAACCCTCACTGATCAGCTCATATCACTGTGTTAACCTTTGCCTGCATTGGGCCTAATCTCATAGAGCTACATGCATTCATTCCTACTAGGTACCTAATTACATGAAATAAAAAAGATGCAGACCACAGAGGCTCTTTTAATTCTCACGCCAGTATTCTAACACGGTGAGACCCAGACTATATCAATAGCAAAGTCTTGCAGGATGCTAACCTTTCTGTGCAATGTAGCTCTCAATTGTGAGTTGATAATCAAGAGGACCGGAACCCCAGAATGCTTGCCTGGCTTTGGCATAGTTTGATTCAGCCTCATCTACCTTGGTAGACTCCTCTTTGCTGAATATTTTTCCCTCGTCATTATAACAGCCAGGTGTGCAGACACTGAGCGGACTGAACCAGGTGGCTCTCTTTGCCACCTCGGCGGCCCAACGTTCCACAGCCTTCTCGGAAATATCAAGTACCAACTTCTGTTCATTGTTCTTCCGGCGGTGCGCTGTCTCCATGACACGCGCAAAGAGAGCAAAGACGTCGTAGACGGACGACAGGTTGTATGAAAATCCACCGCCACGATAGAAGGTGGCAGCAAAGTTTGGAAAGCCCGGCAAAAACACTCCGAAGGCAGTCGTAGAGCCGGGCTTCTTCCACGCTGTCGTGAACGAGACGCCATTACGCCCTGTGATCGGCGCATCGATCTTCTCGGATAGGTTGCTCGAGCCCCCGACAACGAAGCCGGTGGCCAGCACAAGACAGTCGACTTCGTACTCGACTCCATCAAAGACGATGCCATTTTCTGTCAGACTCTCGAGGCCGTTGCCGTTGGTATCGATCAGAGTGACATTTTCGCGGTTGAAGGTTGGCAGGTAGTCATCGTGGAAAGTCGGCCGCTTGCACCAAGTTCCGTACCATGGCTTCAGCTTCTCAGCCGTCTCTTGGTCTTTCACCTCTCGTGATACCCGCTCTCGGAGCTCCTCCGTAGCAACACTGTCAACCCTGAATAGCTCTTCGATATGGTCGCCTGTCATGTCAGGGGAGACGATCTTGCTCCCGGATCCAATTGTCCAGGGCACACTGGCATGCATCATGCAGGCTCCATTGCTATCAATGGGGAAGGAAAGGGCAAGATAAGACAGCTGGCAGTATTATCAACAGGGCAGGGCATGTAATTCATTGTTTCCAAAGGAAATATGCAGCGTTAGAAGCTGTCAAACGAACTGGAAGCACTCAATAGTTGGTATAGACAATGAAAGCAAGTGACTGTAAAGCAGATATACATTCACGCCTATATACCTTACCGAGAACCAGCAGTACCACCGCCTGGTCTAGAATCCAATGGCGGGTAGCCCACTGTCATCTCTAGCTGAGCTTGGGACATAGGTCAAGACAGTCATGATTTGGATACAAAGTAGCCTTCAACGAGAACACTTGTGACAACTCGCTGTACTGCAAGAAATACCGATGCCAAATACTGTGCTACCAACAAGCCATCTCCATGCCGATGCGCTGCTTCAAGCGCCAGGCAGGGCTTGACGGCAGGGGCTACTGTTGGACGGCCTATGTGTGGCGTTCTTGGCACTTCTAACGAAACCACTCGATCCCCCGGGCAGGTGCCACACCGGTCATCGAATAAAGGTCTAGTACAGGCTGCAGACAAGGAATGAAAACGCTTACCAGCTCCGTTACGCATTGAACAGCACGCGTTCTGGACGGTATATCGGCTACAGCGCGGGGTATATGATCAGCGGCCCATCCTCCCATGACACAAGTCTGCCTCATCTCTCTAGGCAGAAGTTTTAGCATCGTAGAGCATGTCTCCATCTCATGATGCTGTTGCCGACATTCCATCATCACGGATACCAGCAGGATCCAGAAACTCATCCGAGGCCACAGCATCCGCAGTCGTTGCTGGGATCGCCGAAACCCTCGCCACAGCCCTCCAACATGTACGTGAGGAAGTCGAGACGCTGAGCCAGGCTATAGACGGAGCTTCAGAACAGGCCAGCAACGAAGATTGTCGGAACCCATCCTCACTACCTGGCGGTAAGGCAGCCGATCGTCCCTACCCACACATCTACCAGGAGGACTGGAGATCGAGGCTAGAGCACAACCACAAATTGCTTGAGGAGTCCAATGACTTCGCGAGCCTCGAAAAGTGCAAGAAAACCTTCAAATACGACCATAGATCCATGAGCGCCCCGCTCAGAGAAGGTACCGTCTTTTGGGTGAAGCTACGACCCGGACCAAACACAGTCTGCGAAGACTTGGCTCTACCTCCAGACCCGTTGGACGACTTACATCGTTCATGGATTGACAGGATTTGTGCGCGCATCGAAGAACGGTGGTCACCGCCCAGAGCCGGAGTGGCAGCAAGACGAGATCTGATACAGTATTATCCTGAGAGATCAGTGAGTAGTACATACATTCCATTTCTTCCCTGCTTCCAAGGTGGCAAACGAGTCTTCACTGACACAATTTAGGACCATGGAGTCCTCGGCATCCCTGAGGACTCTGGCCCCCAGGCTCCGGGGAAGATTTGGTAAGTCAGTAATGCTCGGGGTTTCTGATACATTATCTAGGTATATTGACAGACCCCAGCTCGATTTTGGGTCGTCGTGGTGTGGGACCGCATCAGGGCCGTTATAATACGATGGATATTGAGACCTTGGTTGCCCTCGCCAAGGGTTTTTTCAACTACCGCATGGGCAACGAACTCTGGGGTGAGGAACGTTATTTCCGAGACTTCATCTATAGTTTCTGCGATCTGTATAATCCTTCAGCAACACGGTCCATCAGTCATATCTCGACAGACCGGGTCGTGGTCTTGCAATACCACTTAAGTCATTTCGCACTTGTGGACTGGCTGGAGACAGGGCCGTCCGCGCCCCGGTTTGAAGGCCTAGCACTTAAACGGCAAGTTGCAAAAATCAGGCGTGTTACTCATATGAGTAGCAATGGCGGGAAGAATCCGAGCCGCGATGAGGAGCAGACTGAACGGCATTTCAAAGAGCGCATCCTGTCGGTATCACTCACCATGAGCATGGGTGACGGCGGGGCCTTCAAGCTCATTCTGGTTGGCGATTATGGAATGGAAGAGGTGACGCCCACACTCGAGTCCAAAGCCTTTCACCCTGGGTTTAATACACTGGGCATTGAGCGCAGTACCCTTGGGATCATTGACTGGTCTAGCACACTTTCTTATAGCCCTCTTATTTCTGGCAGAAACTTGGAAGAAAGGCTGGGACAATACATTGGATACTATTGATATTGACACTAGCTTCGACGTAAGTATTTAAGCGCGGTCATACTCTACAGAAACCCATAGATATATATCATGGAGACGGTACTATGCTAAAGCCTGACTAGATGGACCATACCTTTGATGCCGACCGGTTGAATGGCTATATGTTTGATGATTCGAGCTCGATGCACATGTCCACGCGGTATTTTTCAACCCTTCAGTTGCTGCGAATAGCGAGGCAGCGGATTGTGGCCAATCTTGCCGAATGGGAAAGGTTCTGCGACACTGCAAACAGCGACAAGGGGTGGATTGCAAGGGACATTAAGATGAGGGAGGATGTGGGGGATCAAGTCTTGGAGCGTTGGGAAACCGAGCGGAAGAAAATGACGAGGTTGCTCGAGACGATGACGGTTCAACTGCGAGATCGCATCGACAGAAAGATAGAGGAAGTCAAGTCACTGCAGGATGGAGTATGATATCCTTCACTTTCTTGTGTCTCCCGCATTGTTAGATCCCACCGGATCTTGAACAAGCTGACGCTATGTTTTTCAGTTGTTCAATGCAACATCGGTCAGGGAAGCGATAAAGGCAATGACCATAAACCGGGCGATTTATGTATTCACGGCTGTGACGGTCATATACACGCCATTGGGATTCGTGGCTGTAGGTATGGTCTCCTATCTTATCAGTGCTGTACTGAAGAGGTTTGCAGGCGTTCTGGGCGTTGCCTATCTTGAATACAACCTCTGAGGGCGAGAGCACGCGGCCATCCTCTGTGGCTTTCGTGGCAACTTTTGTCATTGTGCCGGCGCTGACGTATATTGGCTGTATCTTGATGGCTTGGTATTTCACTTCAACGAGGAGCTGGAATGCTTTCATCCAAACCATACAAAACTTGCCGCAGAAATTGCGTTGGTGGGCTCAGATTGATAACCAATGGTTGCATGAACTTGCGGAGAAATTTCGAGCAAATGGAAGAACGGACGATCGTGGAGCAGCTTGAGGAGGGCAAGCCTCGTTGGAGCCAAAAACTTAAAGGTCTCAAATACGAGCGAGCTCTTGGAGAAGCTGTCTTCAGAAAACCACTCATCATTTCGTAAACGACCTCGGAGAAATGTTGATTCTAGCAACCCATGATACCATGGACACCGTCAGAAGAGGCGAGCAGTGAGAACGTTTGCCCAGGCAAGCCGATTGCAAATGGACTTTCCTCTACTACGCAAATCACTGGCATCCTCTGCCCAGTTTGATAACTACATCTGCATACCGTGTTCCATCCAGCGCGGCAGAGCGAAGGCTATCTCTGCTGACCTTCAGTATTTGAGTCACGCTGGGCTCTATGAGAGCAGACCGTTTGAGGTCGAGCGGGCCCGTTGGCGATTCGGTCTCGTTGGTATACCACTCTAAATTTCCAATGGTCAACGCTGCCTATTATCTTTGTAAAGCGGGGAACTGAATCCTGCGAGAAACATGAACTAAGTGAAAGCGCACTGTCACCAATCGATAAATGCTGGGCGGGCTACTTTCTTAATCTTGACGAATCAGGTTTCTGTTCTGGCCTAGCAAGACGTTTTGATGTAGTTGTGTCGAGAAGTGTTTCATACAGAGACGGAGCATGAGCTGCATTCACAAAGCTGACTAGGCACTTCGGCTGGAAGGGCAATCGCACTCCTGCCCCCTGGCTCGCTTCTCCTCTCTGGTCTCTTTTGGCAACTCTGGCCGCCAATCGCGTGTGTAAGCTTTGCGATACGGGTCTCACCCCCAGATCCCAGTCTTCAGCGCAAAGCGCTGTTTAAATCACCATGTGATACAACTTGTTCAATCCACTCATGATCAGCAAGACTTGTAGGGTCGCTTCCTTCAGACTACATAAAAGGTGTGTTGGCCAGTCTCCCCATCATAGCTCCAGCAAGGCAAATCCTGTTCATTGCCGAGTGGCCGCAACGCATTCGCTCCTCTGGAACCATCCGTCACGTGCCCGATGCGCTCCAACCGTCCCGTGCTCGCATTCACAGATTTCGAAAACAAGCCTTTGACGTTTGAGTAATCCTGGAAAGTGATTCAAGACTCCGAGTACGTGTCCCCGGTCCAAGTGATCATAACGTAGTAGTAGATGGTGTTGTCTGTTTCCGCGTCCTCCGCCATGGGGCAATCGTAGAGGACTCGAAGTTCGACTTGTGGTTCCTTGTCAAAGTCAAAATCCAAAAGATCGTAAACAGGTGCAGGGTCCTCGTGGCTGGTTGCTGGAAAGGCATAGCCGAAATGTGCGGGGCGCATACCGATCGCCATCCGGCGGCAGGATCTCAAAAACCCTTGTATCCGCACCTCGACTTCAGGCGAACTTATAGGGCCGAAGATGTCATCTTTGAGGATTTCGGCGTCAAAATTTAGAGACCGTATCGCAGTGGTCTCCGGATGGACAATCTTCTTTCGGTAGTGTATAAAGGCTGCGGACGCAATCACGCAGTCTTCACACTTGTTAGGGCGCACTGGTGGACCGCTTGGTAATACCATGCGACCTGTGTGCGCAACCTTGGTCCAGGAAAATGTAGGCGTATAATACTCCGTTGATGTGTATCGTCCAGTGTCGTTGCTCCCGATAAACCAAGTCAACGACCAAGGTAGAGACTGTGCCCATAGGCCAATGGCGTATCGGTCTCCGAGGATAGGACCCAGCTCACTGGCTAAACCGGCGATAGCAACTAGCCTGTCGGAAGGTTTGGTGAGCTGGCAGGCCATGTAGTCCTTGACTACTCCCGACCACCAGTCAAGAAGGCTTCGGCGATCGGATGCCGGAAGCTCGCTACCGGTGGGGCAAAGGCGACGACGTGCTCGGAGAGGGCTTCGTTGCAATTCCTCGTTAGAAAAGCCCTGACCTTTCAGTCTATCGAAGTTCATCTTGCATAAAGGTGAAGTTGAGACTGGTGAAGGCAGGATTTCGCACTTCCAACCTTGCCCCCAATCCCAAAAAACCTGCTGACGCGAGAAGTGCAATGCCCGTGGTGCGAGTAGCCGTTCCTGCAAAACCCATCCTCGGCAGTTGAGAGGCGACTTGACAACTTCATCATGCCATAGATTTGGCTGTACAATATAGTGCGCAAATTCAGGTGACGGTGTGGGTCTCTGGCTTTGAGACATTCCCTCAGGAACCTTCCACCTCAGCGTGACGTGGCAGGGGGGGTGATTATCATCCCTCTGGAAGAAGAGCCCATCGTTCTGATTGCGCCAGTCAGCTGAGATATTGCAGAACGAGTTCGAATACACCTGAGCCATGGTTGTTGTTGGTAGGTCTCTCGTACGTATGATAATCGTATGGGAAGCAATTGTGTATTGGTATTGTTCTATCTAAGTTCTAAGAGGCTACGTGCCCCGGAGGGGATAACTAAAGTAGTCTTTTAAGTAACAAGGGTTATACTTGCCAATACTTACAGTTTTTCTCCTCTTTTAATAAGTATATATAATCTTTATTATGATTAGCCTTAAAATTATAATTCATTATATATTAAGTATATATAATCTTTATTATAAAAAAATATTGCTAAAGAGGCTTAAAATTATAACTTATAAGTTTTAAAGTAAGTCTTAGCAACCCTTATTATTACATTACCCTTTAAACTTATAACCTTTATTATTATACCATTTCTTAAATATTATATTTATTATCTTTAATACTTAGCTTTTAAGGTTGCTTTTTTATAGAAATTATTAACTTCTGCGCAAAGGCTTTAATCTTAAATCTCTTTTTTATAGGGGAAATTAATGCTTGCAAAGCTAATGCTAAACTCTTTAGCTTGCATTTATTTTTATTATATACCTTTATAATATAAATATTATTATCTCTATCTTTACTTTTATTATTAAAATGTACTTAATATTATTTTAAATTATTCTCCTTTAGCTACTTTTTATTTTTTTAAAACTAAGCATTATAAGCAGCTTAATTATTTATTAAGTTCTTTTCTTGCTTTTTATTATTCTTTTTAATTTCCTTAATAATTATCTTTTATTTAGGTTGCTTAAGCAATAATATATATTTCTTAATAAGTTTTTTTATATATAGGCCTTGCATATGCTTATTAATGGTTTAATATAAAAAGTTTTAAAGCTAGGTTAGCATAGCAATTTAATCTTTTAATAGCTAAATCTTTCTAATTTAATATATATAGAAGATACTTAGGATTAAAATTCTTATTAAGTTGTTTATTATAGAAATTATAATAATTTAATATTTAAGATAATGGTTGCCTTAATGGTTCTTATTATTAAGGATGCCATGCAGTTTTGCATTAAGAATTCCAATGCTTTTAATATAAATGCATAACTTTTTAATTATATTATTAAAAGATATTTGCTTATTTTAATATTAAAAGTTGTTAATAATTTAAATAATAGCTATTATAATAGCATTATTTAGGAAAAGTATCTTAGCTTAGGTTATAGCTATAGCCTTTAGCTTATTAATTTTAATAATTCCGTGAAAGTTAACTTTAGTAAGCAGCTTACTCTTTTTAATGCTTAGCATAAAAGTAAAGTTAAAGATAGTCTTTGCAATCTTTATTAAGGTTTTATTAGCCTAGTTTTAATTATCTTTATTATTAACAATAATTAAATTGCTATTAATATTAAGCAAATAAGAGTTATTATTATTAATATCCTTATTAATATTCATTAAATAAGCATTATTGGCAATAACCTTACTATAAGAATTAATAAGATTAATAAGCTTGTTTTTATCTTTATTAATTAAAGCAATTTTAGCTCTTTTTATAGCCTTAATAATAATTCCAATCTTTATTTTATTACTTAGTGGGAATATAATTATAATATTTATTTTGTTAATTAAGGTTATAGTTATAATGTTTATCTTATTAATTAAGGTTATAGTTGCGAAGCTTATTTTATTAATTAAGGTTATAATCGTGATATTTATAAGGGAATTTTAATTCTAATTAAGGGTTATAATAGGGCTACCTTTAATGCTGGCTATGTTAACGGCAGCTATAGTAATAATTATACTAAGTGTATTCTTAATGCAAAAAGTAAATATAATATTTATTAAATAGTTTTGCTTGCTATTATTGCCCTTATAAGGCATGTTAATAAAAGTATTAAATAACTTTTATAAGTTGTTATTAATGTTTTTTATTATAATAGGAAGGAAAAGATTTTATAGGAATTTAATAGTTAAAATAAATATTTATAATGCAAAACTTTGCAATTATTATGTAATAATCATTAGTTTATTCTTTAGTTATAAGAGAAGTTAATAAGTTATAAATAAATTTAATAAAAGTTAATTTTAATATTACTGCTAATAAATAATAGCGAAAGGTAATAATAATAATAAGGTTAACTTTAAAATGATAATTATTAATAATATTAATGATTATAAGGTTATCCTTATATATAATAAGGTATTAAGAAGGTGTTAGTTAAAGTGTGGAAGGTTAAAGTTTATATTAAGGGTTTTAAGTTTGGGAGGTATGAGGTTTTGCAGCTAGTAATAATAAGGTTAAAAGGAAAAGGTATTAATAGTAAGTTACTTCTTTTTTAGCAAAAAGGGGCTATTTTAAATTTCTTAATTAATTTATTTATTTATATATAAAGTTTATTATTATTAATAAGCTTTTATAATGCAGTATTTAAAGTTGGTTTTATTATTGTATTAGCAAGGTTATCTTTCTTATTTATTTACCTTATTTTGGCAATCTTTCTTATTTTATATAACTTTTATAGTAATATAATATTAATTATAAGGCGCTTTTCCTTTATTATTCCTAGCTTTATAAGGCATTTATATAAGCTATATAAGTTTATATAAATAATTAAGAGTATATTTAGTAATAAGAGTTATCTTATAGCTATCTTAATTATTATGGCTAAAGAGATTTTAATATTTACTTTATTTATTATGCTGTAAATTTTGCTTGTTAGTATGCTTTAGGTAATATATTTATACTTTATTAATAATTAATGAAGAATATTGCTTATTATTATAAATCCCTTGGTTTCCTTGCAAGTTTTATTTATAAAAATGATAATATATTTAAGTTAAGATATTAAGTTTTAGTTGTTTATAAATAATTTATTTATAAATATAAAAAGTTTTGCTATTTTAAGATTAAGGGGTATATATTTAATTCCTTATATAGCGTTATTTATTTACCATAATAGTTACATATTTAAGCTCTTATGATTTCTTGTCTTTAGGTTTTGCACCTATGTAGTTATTAAAAGATTATATAAAGCTTTTAATTGGTAAATTAAAGCTATATATATTTTGTAGGCTCTTTATTTAAGGTATTTTTAGGGAGCGTTTTTAATTATTACATTAATAAAAGTAAGTTTATTAGCCTATTCTTTTTATTAAGTAGTGATTAAGCTAATGGTATTTATGGTTATGCAAGCCTTATTATAATTTATTAAGTTTTTAAGCGTTAACTTTTATTTTAATTTTCCTTGCAATTTTATAGCTTTTATCTTAGTTTCCTCCTTATTTTGGAATTTTAGTATAAATAGAATTAATATATTATTTATTTATATACTTATTATCTTAAAGGGTTATATAGGCTTTATAATTATTAAGTAAGGATTATATATAAAGTAATTTATCTTAAGCTTTTATTAATAATGTTTTTAATATATATTAAATTAATAAATGCTAAATTCTGCTATGCTATATAGGGGTTAGATAATATAAATAATTATGCTTAAAGGGTATTTATTTTTTAATTTCTTTAATAGCTTTATAAGGATTATTCTTTATAGTTTTAACTTTGCTTAAGGGTAAGCTTAAGTAATATCTTAAAGTATAAGAATTATGCCTTTTTTTTAAATTAATAAGGGGGTGAGTATAAAGATTATTTATTAGCTTATTTTTTAAATAATTAAGCTTTATATTAAAATTAATCCCTTTTTATTATTATTATAACCTTGGATAATAAATTAGGATTTCTTATAAGGTTTTATAGTTTTGCCTTTTACTTTTTATATTATGCAAAACTTAAAGAAATAATATTTATTATATTGCTTTGCTAACCATTTCTTAGTTTAAAAGATACTTTTAATAATAAGGTTGTTAATTTCTATTTTATTAAACTCTTTAAATAATAAGCTTAGTATTATAATAACTTTATCTTATTTTAATTTAATTGCTAAGTTATAATTTTTATTTTCTTTTTTTAAAATATATAATATAATAATGCAGTTTTTTATTTTTAATAACGGTGATTGCATAATAAGTTGTATTTAAGGTTTTATAGCTAAGTCTTTTACTTATAAGGATTGCATTTCCTTATTATTATTTTAATAGTATAATTAAATAACTGTTAACTTAAACGTTGCAGCTTTATTTAATATATTTAAAATTATATTATAGCTATTTATGGTAATAACCTTATATAAACCCTTTTATCCTTTTCTCTCTTTTTATATGCAAACTTTGCATTATAGTAAGTATTCCATGCTAAAGATAAATTTAACTTTGGTATTTAATATATTTTATACTTATTATTTAGCCATGATTTTTTATAATATCTTCATGGCCTTTAAAATAGCTTTTGCTTGCTTTTACGTTAATAATAATAATAGCAACTTATGCAATATTTATAGGTATGCATTAAAAACTAAGAGCGTAAGGATTAATCCATTTAATTTAGCAATATTATTAATAGCTTTTATAATTATTTATAAAATAGCATTATTATTTATGCTATTATATAGTTTAATATATAAGATTTTATATGCTTATTTAAGGGCTTAATGATATTTCTTAACTTTCCTAATAAATTAATATACCTTTATAGGGACTTATTTATATTTAATTCTCATTATTTATGCTTTTAAACGGAATTCTAAGGATGCAAAGTTTATTCTTGCATTATATTTAATGATATTTAATAGTTCTTAATATGTGTTAATTTAGAGCATTTATAGTGTTTATTATGCGGTTTTTATAAATATAGATTTTAAGAATTTCGCTCCTTAGAAAGCAATGGCTTAGTTTATAATATGGAAAACTAAATGTTTGCTTAAATATATTATATTGATTAAGATTTTATAATTAAATTTATAATTATTGCATAATATAAACTTAAAACGCCTAAGCATAGGTTTGTTTATTTAATAATAGTAATATATCTTTTTAATTTCTATTATTGCTTATTTATTAATATTTAAATTGCTAGCTTTTTTAAGCATCTAGTATAGTTAATTTATTAATGGGTGTTTAAAGCGATGGTAGAGTTTCCTTATTTCTATTTTTAAGAGGAAATATATAGCATTAATAGTTTAGTTTAAAAAAAACCATAAGTAACTTTATTTTTTAAGTATTAATATAATAATTATATTGTTAAAGGAAATTATTTTATTTATAATATTATTATAATATATTTAAAGCTTATTTATATTTATTAGGTAAAGTAGGAATAGGGTTTATACTTAAATAATATAAAAGTTAATATAATTAATTAAGGTGGAAACTTTTATTATGTTAAGCGAATTAATAGTTATCTTATTATTAAATTTAACTTTAGCTTTTTTTATAGCGGTTAAATTAATTTAATACTTTAGGTCTTCTTATTGCAATGTAAGAAATTGCTTATATTTAGCTATGGATATTAATGATACTTTAATATTTAGCAGGATTCCTTGAAAATAAGTTTAGTTATATTTATTCTTTAAGATAAACTGGCTAGTTGTAATGGTTATTTTTATTTGGAAGATATTGTTTCTTATAATTTGGTGTATAAACGCTTTATTAGCTAAGAAATTAATATTTATATAATAAACCTCCTTATTAAGTCCTATCTTTATAATATAAGTATTGCTATTGCAATTATTATTTTAATTTTATTTATCTTTATATTTATAAAATTTATCTTTATTATTTATCTTATATCCCTTAAATTTACTTAAAAAAGTATTAAAATCATTATTATAATCTTTATATTTATATTATATTAAGTAGCTTCTTCTTGCTAAATGTTGCTTATTAGCTAAATGTTTAATTAACTAATATTCCTTCTTTTTATAAATATAATATCTTTTTTTTTAAAGTTATTTTCCTTCTTTTCCTTTATAAGCGTTATTACTTTAAGTTTTGTGGTTAATGTTATAAGATTTTAGCTATTTAAAGCTTAAATGGCTTAAGTTTAGTTAGCTAAACCTTTAATTTCCTTAAAACGCTTAAGATTGTAATTATTATCCTCCCCTTAGCTTTTAGCCATTATATTTATAATTAATATAATATTAATTTAGGACTTTATTTATAATATAAATTATAATTACGTAGTTAAGCTATATTTTTATTATAAATCTTAAGTTTGAAAATAACTCTTTATATAGTTAAATTGGCTTAAAAAAAGCCATTTTTAGCTTAAAAACTCCTTTATAAGCTTTAATTACTATTATTCTTAAGTTATTTTCCTTAATATAATCTTAGCTTAATGCTTATTAATAAAGTTGTAGCTTATTAAGCATTAAATATAAAACTTTATGCAGGTCTTTATTTAAGTTTTATGCTTTTATCTTTATAAATATTATTATTATTTAGTTTATATAATAATATTGATAGTTAAGGTTTATATTAAAGTGCATCTTGATTTTAAGGTATGTTATTATGAATATATTAGTTTAATTTATAAAATAAAGGTAGTAAGCCTTGGCTTGATCTTTAAGCATTTAAGGAAAAACTATATGGAATTAATTTAGCTGGATTTTAACATAATAATAAATATTAAAAAATATCTTTATTTTATTATTTAGCAAGTTATATAAATTCTTAATATACTTATAAAAGTTATTAAAGGTTTTTATAAACTATGCTAACTTTACTAAATTTAAGCATTTATTAAAAATGTATTGTAAGGGAAGAGTTTTATATAAATTATACTTTTTATTTAGCAAAGGCATTTTTAAGGTAGCTTAAGGTTATGCTAAATATAATATATATCTTTAATATAAGCTTTATTTTTATCTTTTCGCTAATAATAATAGGCCTTATTAGCTATATTAATTTTTAATAAATTGTATTATTAAGTTTGGGTTTTGTAATTACGTGCTTAGAGCCAATAGCGGCGGTAAAAGTTATCTTAAGAACTATCCTCTTAATAATTATTATTATTTAAAGCTTGCTTATAATGCTTATAAGGGCTATGCTTATAATTGCTATCTTTAAAATTAAGTATAATATTTATTTATACTTAATTTTAAGGCTAATAGGGTATTGCAAAGCTTATTATTAATTTATTTTAATCTTTCCTTAGCTTAAGCTATAATAATTAATTATAATATTATAAGTTAGTTATTATATCTTATATAAATATCTTATATTTAAAGAAAGACTTTTAAATATTATTAGCAAGGATTTAGTAATGCTTTAAATATTGCTTATATTTACATTGTATAATCCTTATAATAAGTAATAAAAAGGTTATTATTATAAAGGTTTTATTGCATATAGCTTGCTAAAGTATTTATTAAGTAGGTAATTAAATATTTTATTAGTATTCCTTATGCAGGGGCTATAAATCATAGTTTTGGATTAATATATTTATGGTAGGCTAAGTTGATTGGAGTTTAAGTAAGCATTTTATTAATCATGTACCCTTTAATAAGAGCCAGTAGCTTCTTAGCGTTATTAGCTATTCTTATAGGTTTTCATAGCGAATATCATAAGGAGTAAGATTAATAAAATAAAGAGATATTAATAAAATAGGTAATATTTTAAAAGTAAGTTAATAATGGTAGTTTAATAGTAAGCAAGTTATAGTTATTAAGAGGAAAAAGTTATTAGTTTCTTTAGGCCTTAAAAGCTAAGGCTTTCTCCCGTTATTAGGTCCTTTTATATTAGTTAAAAGCGTAATGCATAACTTATGCTTGCTTATAATATAGTATTGCATTAGCTTTAATAATTGCAATAATTATAAGCTTTATTTATTTAATAGTTATAATAATTATAAGCTTTATTTATTTAGTAAAACGAAGCTTTATTAAATTTTGCTGGATCTTAAAGAGAAGTTAAAGATAGGTTTATAATAAGTTTATTTTTAGTAAAGTCTTATGTATAATGAATGTATATCTCTTAAATAGCAATGAATATATGTATAGATATTGCAGGGAATGCTACTTAATCTATTTAATCTTTGCAATGTCTGCTTAGGGAGTTTAATAATGCAAGGAGGCTTAAAGAAGCAGTTATTGCTATATAGCGCTTATTAACGAGGAGGATATAATTTTTAAGTTAAGGAAATCCTTATAGGATTGCCTCTTTTACCTTATTAATCTATGGTACCTATAACTACTAATTAATATTAGTAGGTTTCTTATATATATGATAATCGTATGGGAAGCAATTATATATTGGTGTTGTTTTGTCTAAGTTCTAAGAGGCTATATGCCCCGGAGGGGATAACTAAAGTAGCCTTTTAAGTGACGAGGGTCGTACTTGCCAACAGTTGTACATTCCGTTCGCCAGTCGGCACCATTATCACCGGACTGGATAATACACAGGGAGTCGATCCATATGTATTTGTCTAGTCGTTGAGCAATAGTCAAGGCGTCTTGGAACGTTCTTCGGAGGCTCATGGTTGGCAAGCCCCGTTCAAAGCCTGGAACATTGTCTGTCGTAAGCTGCAAAAATTCACTGTCGCCACATCGGTGGCTCAGTGCAAGATATCCTTTGCCTTTTTGGAATATCTCTGAGTCGGAACGGATGACCCTAAATGAATCCGGTGTGACCAGCTGGATCAAACGAGTTGCGTACCATTGTTGGCCTCCTTTGTGCTTGTCCGAACAGTGGTGCTGCCCAGAGCACTCCTGGAGCCTGCCCTCGATAGTTGACCACGTTGCCATAGATTCAGTATTGCCAGGTAACGATCTTGCTAGCCCTAGCTCAGATGCAAATGTGAAATGATTAGACTTGTTCTTTGACAAGGTTTCGTGTTATCAGCCTCGACGTATGCATACTTCGCTCACCGATAATTACTATCGGCTCATCGCTCACACTAAGGTTGTACCGCACCATCTTCAACTGGTTGCGCCACTTTTCCCAGTTGAAATCCTCAGGTGTCGCCAAATGTCTCAAATAACCATCCTCGTGCTTTGGAATGAGACTGAAATGGAGGCTTATGACTTGTCCACCGCTCGAGTTCCGCACGTTATTGATCTGCAAGCCTGTGAACGAAACGCCTGGCATGACCTTCCCCCAGGAAGTTCCACGGTCCACAAAGCGTGAGCCACCCGAATCGGGCGTGCTACCTCGTCCAAGTAGATGACCTGGTACTGTCCCCTTTGCTAGTAATCTAAAGCTATCCCGCACCTCCTCTGGAAGTAATCCGAACATGTGCGTGCAGACATAACACTGTCGATTCTTTGCTTCAATGAAGCTCTGGATGCTGTCGTGGTGCGGGTATAGCACATGAGTCTCTAGGCTCTCTTTCGTCAAGGCGGTCAAGCAGGCACGACAAAGACGCGAATTGCGCGGACTTCTATCGTGGGTGGCTCCGCTTGATCCATTACTGAACTCGCATTCCATCTTACGCAATGGGATCCAACTTTGGAACTCCTGGAGTCTGCGCAGATCCAGGAATCCGATCAAGTAGTCCAGGGGTTGTTGGAATACTTGGACTGCCTTCGTTTCTCAAATTCTTGAGAGGGGTAAGTGGATTGTGGCGATGGCCATGAGAGTAGCCCAATGGCTGCTGTCAGGTGGGCTGTGCACCATACTGGTAGAGAGGTTCTTCGTCGCTCAATGTTTGAAATATTTGAAATATCCACACTATCTTGCTCCTTCGTAGAAATGCAGGCATGCTGAAGCATTCAAATATACGGAAAGTTGACACTGCCGGCGGGCTTGCACACCTACGGAGCTATTTGCTTGACATGACAAGGCTAAGACTGGAGAGGATGTCGAGCACGACACGTGCAGAGATCGTGTTGAATTTGCTGCTTTTATTGAAGACATCGATCATACAGTTGTCCGTTTCACATTGTAAACGTTGTTGAGAATTGCCTGGCTGATCAGTGGCGAGGAGTTCGTTACAATTATCACGTATCGTGGCCTAGTACGTTGCCAAAGCTGATTCTACCTAGGCAGTGCTCAAAAGACATACCAGAGCAGCAGAGCTGGGCGACGAGGCACTTCATAACAGAACAGTGACGGCGTTGGAAATGACGCGTAATAAGAGTCCACGAATAGCTACAAGCCCACCGTCCCAGGAACGATTATGCGCAATGGCCCTGGTCCTGGACGGACTACGGACCGCATGAACGTGGATCGGCGGACAGTCCGGCTCGGGAAGCAGAAAGATGAGACGTTTTGTCGCCTAGACGCCGGGCGATCAAGAAGACACCGCAGGCTGTAATATCTGGGCGCTCGTGAGGTGTCATGTTCCCTGCGAATGCCGGGGCTTCCTCTGCCAGATTGGCGTGACCGGGCCGAGGATGGGAGGCTGTAAATACGGAGTAGATTAAGCACCATGTGTAGGGCTGACGGAGAAGAAGAGAAGATGATGCTGGCAGGGAACGTCCCGGGTTGGTCAGCCTGTCTGTGGCTGGAATGTAAATGCAGCAACCAGAGCAGTATTGCTGTTGCTCTGCTATCACAGACTGGTGGACGAAGCGAATATCTCCAACAAAGTCGTTGTCTTGGTGCCTTGTCTGCTGCAGAATTGTGGTAACTGCAGCACACGGTTTGGCTGGCGAGGCCAGTCTCGTCTAGGCCAGTCATCATTGCAAGTGCAAGTGCAAGTGCAAGTGCAAGTGCAAGTGCAAGTGTCAGTGTCAGTGTCAGTGTCAATGGGTGCACCGATTGGGACTAGCGGCCGATGCAGGCTGCACGGCCCCTGCTTGACAATCTCGGACTGGGTTCCCCCAACTCTGGCCGCTCGGCCGCTCACCAAGTCTCATCCTACCGCCTCGAAACGCCCTGCGACCATGGTGTCTGACTGAGCAGAGCAGACGGGCAACGGAGTGCGATGCCAGCCACCCTGCCACCTCGAGTCCAGCAAAACCCGCAGGCAGGCAGACAGACAGACAGAGTCCGTCTGACTACCTAGCCTGTCCAGCTGGAGAGTCAGAGTGCGACGCACATAATGGCGGACCTCCGCCTCGACCACGAAACTGTCCCGTCCCGTCCTGGCCTGATCTGATCTGATCTGATCTAATCTGGCTTGATCCGATCAATCTTGGACCTGGCTGCGGGAAGCCGGAGTCGTGTCAATTGCCAGGCCTGGAGTCACATGCGATCGTGCCATCGACGGGTCTCTTGTTGCCCTGGCCAGGCTCACACCCGTCACGTGATGCTGGCGTGCTGTCGTCGACCGTCAACCGCGATGGGCGCGACCCCAGGATTTCATTCATTCAATCGGTCAATTCGCCAGCAGTGCCGAAGGATGGATGGATCTGCGTCTCCCATACCATCTGACCATCTGATCATCCGCCCGTCGAGAGAGATAAGCCCTTCTCGTATCGGGATCATCGCCCCCTGAGATTAATCGGCAATGGTAGCGTTGCAGTCATCGCGAAGTAAAATTGCACGCGCACCTTGCAGCGTCGAAAGCGGTAATTCGACATCCCAAAGAAGGGTGCAACGCCAGCGATGCAAGGCACGCTTCGGCATAATTCTTGGTCTGCACAAACCGACGAACCATCGGACGGAGGTGGATGCCAGTCGTGTCCTGGTCCTTGTCGCCTCCACCAAAACACCCGCCCAATCATTGCTGCTGGCGCTCTGTGCCCGGCGAGAGTGGGTGTCCAGGCTCGATTTAGCCACACACAGTTCCACAGAGCGAACCCGAGAAGCAGAGACGCGCGCAAAGCATCGAGTTTTTGTCAATGGCGCCTCAGCGGTCCAGTCCTGCCAATCCTGCCAGTCATTGACCCGTTTAATCTGGCTTTCATCAAGCGACCGCCCGCGTCTTATTTGCGCCTTCCTGGATCCGGCCGCGAAGCGACTCGCCTTTCTCCTGGACCCCGGTCCGCAGCACGACATGGCCAATCGTTCCCCGCCGAACCCCTGGATCCCACGAAATGTGGCCCCCCCCCCAGACCGAGACCCGCCCCTTTTTTCCTGGCCGGCTGTTGTTTCCTCAATGGAACTCCCTGTACCACTCGACCAAAATCCGCGTCTCCCTCCTGCGGTGCCAGTTCCTCCTTCCAGACGCTGCTGTTGCCCTGACTGCGACACTTTGCTGCTGCTCCTTTGATTGATGTTGCATGCCCTCCACCGCGTAACCATTCTGCCGGCTCTGGTCACTTTCCGCGTCCTCGCCGTTCGTATCCGCGCTTTCTCCTCTGCTCGCCCAAGGAACAAGCCATGTCCGCGCGGTGATCATTTGCCGTCCCGGGCCAATTGCACCTCCAAAGTCCTTTGCCTTCTCTTTGGCATATCCATCATGTCCCAGGCTATGACCCTCGAGCCCTCTCCGGTGGACCTGGACCGGACCATGGCACCGTCAGAACACAACGGACTTGGCGCCGCATACGACCACTACCGATTTGACAACGCCCTGTCCTCCTCACAGACACCTGATACACTAGACGCTTCATCTGGTCCACCACCTCGGGCGACAGCAATCACCCACCCGCAAGAACCATTCGTCCAGCCTTTGTCACATGGACAACCCGTCCACACTTACTCTCGTCCCGAGTCAGTAAATCCCGCCGTCCTGCCACCGCCGCCACCACCACGCTCGTCGACGCCCCTTCATAGCCCAAGGAGCACCAGGTCTCAGAGTCTAGCCGCTTCTCTTGGGAGCCAGTCACCCATCCGGCGCAAGCCTCTGAGTCCCACGGCCTCGCCATTGGCCGTTCGTTTCTCATCTAGGAGCTACCACATGAAGTCTCCTGACCTGCAGGAAGAGCCCGACTCTGGTTTCTATTCCCTTGATAGCCCGGACTTATATGACTTGGGCCCAGCAGAGGGCCCAGCTCCCGTAGCCTCGCTGCCCACGCCCCTCGAGTCTCTGTCCGAGGAAGAGTAGGTTCACCATGTCTTAAATACTTTGAAGAACAACGGCCCATGCTGACAGCAATGTTTTGCACGCTAGATTCCTGGGCAGGTGGCCGACACCCCCGACCGGGCCTATCACACCGGCCGCACTGGAGGTTCGAAACATTCCAGACGTCAGCCCTGCACCACCTCAAACGGACGATTTGACACAGCCCAAGCAACCAGCAAGTGCTTCAGACGTCACTCTGGCCACTCAGGGTCCGGACCAGCCCAACGCGGAACCGCCCAGTTCCAATCAACAAAATTCTAGCAGTAGCATGTCTTTGTCGTCCCGGCCGCCTATGCCCCCACAGCTCGATCTTGATTATCGAAACTCAATCTCGCAACAACAGCACACGGCCTCTCCGACTCTCGACAGACCACCAGACAGCGCATCCAGTCACGCCAGCCACGCCAGTCTTAACAAACCATTGCCAAAATCGCCCCCAAGATCACCAGTCGGCTCATCAAAACTCAGCAACTTCTTCGGCTGGGGAGCACCATCGCCGTCCGACACCGACCGGTCCAAGGACAAGAACTATTCTCCGATACCCTCGCCAGTGTCACCGAAGCGCAACGGATATTCCGATGAATCTCCAGTGTCGACAAGGGACCCAAATTCTACGCAAGCACATACACACGAGGGCAACGCCCTCGGATACGTCGAGGCATATTTTCCCACACCACCGAATTCCTATACGCTGGTCTCACCGGTTGTCGAAATCGAGGAGATGGAGGATGAGCTGAAAGCCATCAGCGCCGAATTGGCCTCGTCCATTCGGCGCGAGATGGACCTAGAAGACCTGGTCGACAGGTTACAATCGGAGATTGCCAACCCGCAAGCACCTGGGAAGAGGACCAGTGATTACTTCTCAGACTCGGGTTACAGCACGGCCAAGTCCGGCGAGTTCGAGAATCCCAAGGACGAGATCTCGACCATCCAGCGAAAAGCAGAGCAGGAGAAGGCGCAGCTCCGGCTCGAACTTACGACCAAGCTTCAGGAGGAAAGGGGCCGCCGCAATGCGCTCGACCAACAAATCAAGGAGCTTGCCGACAAGGCCTCGCAAGCCGATGCCGCGCAGATGACCAGCAAGGACGCCGACGCCAGGGTCAAGGAGCTGGAAAAGTCGTGCGAGGACCTCCGTCGCAGACTATCTGAGGAGCGGCAAGTCAAGGATAACTTCGAGGACCTTCTCACCGCGCTCAAGGGCGAACTGCAGAATGCTGCACTGGAGCGAGACAACCTCCGTGACGAGGTTGTCCCACAACTGCGAGCACGCGTCGAGGGTCTCGAAGCGCAGCAGGCTGACAGCGAGAAGCTGGCCTACGAGACAACGAAACTACAGCAAGAGCTGCAGGATATCAAGGATTCCAAGGCAAAGCACGACACGCTTGCACGGCTGAGGTCAAGCTCCGTCACAGGCCAGTCGTTCAAGCTCAGCCGTCCACCATCTGGGCTCCACTCCAGCGGGCTCGGCAGGTCCAATACCGTTAAGGGCGGCCACGTCGAGTCCAGAGACGTCTTATCCGAGCGCCTGAAGGACGTCGAGGCCCAAAGAGACGCCCTTCACAGTGCTTTGAAGAATCTGCTCGACAGGCAGGACTTTCAAAACCGGGAGAACGAGAAGAAGATCAAACTGTTAGAAGTCGAGCGTGATCGACTCTTGTCAGCATCGCCCAGGAAAGCCGGTTTCGATAGGGAGGTCTCAACCCTGCGCGAGGAGGTGAACATATTGCGGCGACGCGCCGAGGAAGCCATTGAGCAGAAGTGGCAGGTCGAGAAAGGTCTGATAGGATTGAAGAGCGATCTCGACAGGGCTGAAGAGGAGATTACCTCGCTGAGGGCGCTACTGAGCGAGAAGGACATCCTGATACCGGACTCTTTCTCCCGTTACAGCAACAACTCGGCCACAGGCGCCCCGGGACTGCCAGCTACATCGTCATCACTGGAGAAGGCATACGAAGACCTGCAGAAGTCATACAAGGAAGCACTTGAGCGCATCAAGGACCTTGAGATTGGTGGCACCAGTGCTTCCCAGGACGAGAGGACCAGGCTCGCCATGGAACGGCTTGAGCAGTCACTTGCATCCGCCGTTCACGACCGCGACGACGCTCGTCAGGAATCAGCGTCGCTGCAGAGCCAAGTCGACAGGCTACAGCAATCCGAGAAGGACCACTTGGAAGGCGAGCGCGACCTGGCGGACCAACTCCGGGACTCGGCCAACAGGGTTGAGGAGCTCACACAGCAGGTCCGCGCTCAACTAGCCATCAACGCCTCCCTGCGAAGCCGACTTTCCGAGACTGTCGCCAGGGGTGAGGCTGGCCAGAGGGCCAACAAGGAGCGGCTTGCCAGCATGCAGAACCGCATGCGGCAACTCGAAGAGCAGGTCGTTGCGGCGCAGACGGCCGCCGAGGATCGTGTCAACCGCCACGAGGAGGAGATTGGCAGGCTGCGGGAGTCGACCAGCGCCAACCTGCACCGGCTGCGCGACAGCAACACTGGATTGCGATCGCCCCGCCTGTTCCCTCCAAAGTCGCCCGTGTCGCCTCTCCTGTCACCAAACTCTGGTGGGAGATTCCCCCGGATGCTCAGCTCTCACTCCCGGAAGAGCTCGCGAAACCGCCCATCCAGCTCAGGGAACGGCGAGGAGGAGGAGGATACCTCTCAGGTCGAGACGCTGAAGGCCCGGGTGGCCGAGCTCGAGAAGTCTCTGGTCACTGCCGACTTTGAGATGCAGGAAGTCGTGGGTAGGATGAACACGGCTCAGATCGAGGTCATGACTCTCCAGGAGGAGAGGGAGACGGCCGCCCGCGAAACCAAGAAGCTCCAGAAGCTCCTCGAGGCCGAGAAGGTCAACGCCTTCCAGCAGCGCTTCAACACCATCACCAACTAATCAATAGAGGCCATCGCCAACTGTAACACAACTCGCGAATGCGCGTCTTCAGCATGATGCATTTACAACGGACCGGCATACAAATCCATCAACGGGCAAATTAGTCACTGTACCACCACCCCCAACGGCAGCCGGACCGGCCAAGGTCGTGCTCGCCATGGAAACAAACCAGCGGCGTTTCTTGATTACTACAACTGGGATTGGACATTGAAAAAGCAGAGCGCATACCACTTGCCGCATATATCAACCGACGACGACATACTTAGTGTTCGTTTTCCGCCTATTCTAATGTCTTTTTTTTTTTTTAGCTTGGCTAGTGTCTACATATATTGCACACGGGACGAAAAGGCCTTTTTTCCTTCTTGAAGTAATACTCATAGTAAACTGTACATAGCTTTCTTGGGAGTTGGGGACGGGAGGGGCCACTGGGGAAGCGGCTGGTTAGCATACAGCTGCGTATCTTGGATCACAATCGCGGCCGTCGAGATCGATGATGCCGATTGCATACTCGCTCTACTCTTGCCATCCAGATTTGCCCGACCAATGTGAAATAGCCGTCGCTTGTCCCCAATTGCTTACTTCTCTAGATCTTTCGGAGCACCCTGCCGATAAGAGGGCTGGTTCCCCGGGATCGCCCTGCCCCGGTGGGCCCCCACCGGGAATGCGCCCCACGTGGTGGTAGCGCGCTGCAGGCCGCCGCCGCCCGCCGTTCTAGAAGATGCTCGGGTCGGAGTTTTGACCCCCAAACGCCTTGCCTTGCGATATCTCCAGACGCGCATGCCCCTCGCGTCTGTGGGTTAGCCATCGCTGGGTACACTGCAAGATCGGTGGCAAAGTGGCTGGCCGACCGCAGAAGGTGTGGGTAGGGCTGCAACGTCTTGGCGGGGAGCTGGGAAGTAAGCAAGTGGCTCGCGGGGGAGCCGTCCATGAGTTTGTGTGTGTGGGGGAGGGCATGGTGTGTGCTTACTGATGAGACGGTGTGCAACAGGGAGATAGGAAGATCTTGATCTGGGAGGGAAGGGTGATGGTTTCACACTCTACGCAGTCCTGGCAGTACGATCCCGGAGGGTTCTGTGTGGATGGGATGTGATGGGTGGGCGTGATCGAGGCCCCGAGGAGATTGCGCCCTGGGTGACGACCGATTCGCCTGGGCAGGAGCGAACCTCCCTCGTTACCGAACTCGTGAGCCATGGCATGGTCTTCCAGGCGCGGGCATTACTTTGGAGGAACTGGTGTTTGGACTGGGGTCCCGACTGCTGTGGGGAGGAGTCCAGCCGCGCCACGAAGCGACGTGGGACGAGAACAGCAGAACTCGGGATGGGGAGGAGGGCTACATCACACGAGATGCCGGGTGGGGGCCACACCTTCTTCTCTCTTTCTCCAACGGGCTACATTTTGTGAGCACGGTGATAAGGCTGTGCCCCTCGGGCGCTGCTGCAGGTTTACGACACCGGGGGCACGGCTAGCTCGAGTCCCGATGTTCTTGTCCGTCTGTGGGTGGCTAGCCGGCGTTGAACCTTGAGGACATTTTTGGAGAGCTTTCTATGCATCACGGGCTGCTGAGGCCTGCGAAGTGTTCACCAAGAGCCTTCGGTGAGTGCGGGATACAGAGTTTTGAGGAAGAGCCACGGCACCAACCAGGCTGAGCCTCATGCTTCGCTGGTGCAACGGGAAGATGATTAGAGTTTACCCCTGCATGAAGAGAGTTAGGTAGGATTGGGTGCCCTCCAGGCCCAGCTTGGCAGCTCTCTGTAGAGATAAGAGCGGAAGACGACATTGGCTGTGGGCTTGCGAGCGGTGCATTCATGCCTTCCTTTAACAGTCACCAAGCCCGTGGTCTTGAAATTCTACCGGGTGATGAGTGTGGCGTCGTTGGCTGCCGTGAAATACGACAAAGGCAGTCAATCAGCCAGCCAGCCTGTAGAAATGACGAAGGCCTAGCCTTCTTGAAAGTGCATGTATCACCAGCCCGGAGGGTAATATCATCCAGGGTGCCCGGAAAATAGTTCTCTTCACACGCACCATTGATATGAGCATACTGACATGCTGCCCAGGGTGGGCAGAGAAGCGACATTTGCCTATCTATAGAACCGGGGACCAAAACCTGCCTGTTGGCGGGGGACTCATCGCATGTACTGTAGCAATCCTGCTTCATGTGGTGACATCGCGAGACTGGACAAAGAAAGTCCGGCTGATGGCCCGGATCGTCGTGGTGCCCCAGCTCCGTCGACGGTGACTCGAGGTTCCCGTCCCGGGCGGCGGGACGAGTCAGAATGCGCACATCTCAGCCCTGCTCTGGTGAGTATATTGTGGCCCGCATGATGTTCGACACAGTTGCGGCAGACAGAGTTTATTACGACAAGGCGAGGTCTTTTAGAGTTTATCCAGGGTTGATGGTGTAGCGATGGGCTTATTTTGCAGTCTTTTGGCAGTCCTTTTTTTTTTTTTTTTTTTTTTTTTTTGTTATAGTTCAGCTACCGATGAGGGACAAGAAGCTAGGCATGTTATTGGTGTGGACGTTGGTGTAAATACTTTGGAAGGTGGTGAAGAGTGTGGGTGGAGGGTGGAGGGCTGGTTTCGCGATGAACGAGGTCAAGGTTGGAGGTTCAGGGTCGAGGTTGAGGTTAGGCAGTCCCGGAGATTTGGGATGGGCGGAATGGATGCGGTTGGGTGGGTGGTGGTGTGTGGTTGCGTGGGTGAGTACCTCAGTCGTACTCGCGTGGATTGTGTCAGCCTGCGGTACCTCCCGCGCGCGCCATGGAAATGAGCCCGGATCCCTGCTTATCTTTGCTTTGGCTTTTTACGCCATTCCTTTTGTCTGCACCGCCAACTGCACCTGCATACGGGGAGAGTCGCACAGCAGCACAAATTTTTTTTTTTTTTTTTTTTTTTTTTTTTTTTTTTTTTTTTTTCTTTTGCGCGAGGACAGTCGCACAGCGCTGCTCGTCATCCGCCCGCCATGCCATGTGTGCGCGAGTACGTACATATGTACGCTTGACAACCTTGACACCTCCGTCCCGCACGCTCGACCCCTGCACCGTTGAATCTGGCCAGCACTCCCCGCAACGGCTGCTGTCCTTGCCCGAAGAGCGCCTTCCTTAGTCCTCGTCATGGTCGGCCCTCCCACGCCAGACACACCCAAGTCTGTAACTAGGGACGCATAATAGACTACCAATTCGCCTTATCAGCAGCGGTCCCCACGCCAGCATCATGAGTGGCCAATGGCCGTCTCCTGATCCGAGCTCCCCATTGTTTCTGTCACTTCCCACCGGAGGGGCGAGCTTCCCTTGTCGATCGGCTGCATGGCCCATAAGCTCCACTTACTCAGCTTCCCACCCTCGTTCTTGCCTCTTGCCCTTGTCAGCCGGTTGGCCTGGCCTCCTTCCCTGCGCCCCCCAGCATGTGCATGCGCAGGCACATGCCTGTCGAGAACGAGATAGATGAACAAAGACTCTTAGCTCTGCTTACTCCGTCCAGGGGACCATCAGATGTTAACCTCGCCAGGCTCAATCTCGCAGCCCTCTCCGCCCCTTGCTGCTTGTGTAGACCATGCTTTCTTTGGCCAACAATTGGTGGTGGGCCTGGGCAATCTTGGTCGATTTCTCCGTCTTCTTCGACTTCTTCTTCTGCTTCCTCGCTAATATTCCCTCTTTATCTCGTGTCCCGCTCACCATTGACGTCCTCCGCTGGTTCTCTCCCCCCCTTCCCCGCTCGGCGTGACCCTGTCGCGTGCTTTTTTGCTTTTGCCCTGAGACGTTTGACGCAGCTCCCTCGCCGGGGCGTCAGTGGCGTGCGGCACGACACCCATCAACTGGCCTCATAATTGCTTCTCCTCTCCCGCATCTGGTCCCAACCTGGAACGGTCTGCTGTCTTCACCGTCTGGATCTGCGTCTTGACCTGTTCTGTACCAGTGGCTGGGGGGTGCAGTGTTGTATATTGTCTGGATATTGCCGAGCTCCTCACTGCCCTTCCACTCCTTGGCTTGCACTCTTGACGCCCTGATCTCGTCTTCTTCTCCTCTCGTTCCTATATCCTAATCCTCTAAACAACACTACAATATTAAAGCTCCCTTCTGCCACCTTTTGTCAAGCACCTGTCAACCTGCGGACCCAGTTGAGCTGGACCCGTTTCCCCAGGTCCTTGTTACACATCTCCCCGTCTCGAGTCAAGAAACATCCGCCCATGGTAGCGGGACCACAGTTGCCCAGCATGGTCGTCCTTGACGGTGTCGACCTTGACAGCCTTGGCTACATCGTCAAGGCCCCTTTCAATGGCTCCGGCCCTGCAGGAGGAGACCCTCTCACAGAGGACCTGAACATTTGGTACGAGGTAGGTTGAGCTCGTCCTTATTGCCGCCTATGTTATCACCGTACTGCGCTGGATACTGACTGTTGTCACTGCAAGACTGGCGATATAGGATGGATGATAACCGCCACTGCCCTCGTCCTCCTGATGATTCCCGGTGTCGGATTCTTCTACTCGGGCCTCGCTCGGAGGAAGTCAGCCCTCTCGTTGATCTGGCTGTCCGTCATGGCCACAGCCGTCACGACCTTCCAGTGGTTCTTCTGGGGCTACTCGCTTACCTTCTCACATACCGCCGGCCCCTTTATTGGCGACCTAGCCAACTTTGGCTTCAGAAACGTGCTCGCTCGTCCCTCCGTCGGTTCCGCCCGCCTCCCTGATCTTCTCTTCGCCGTTTATCAGGGCATGTTCAGCGCCATTACCGTTGCTCTCGCCACAGGAGCCGTCGCCGAGCGCGGCCGCATGTTGCCCTGTGTTATCTTCATGTTTATCTGGGCAACCGTTATTTATGACCCGATCGCCTGCTGGACATGGAACACCAGCGGGTGGAGTAACAAGATGGGCGGTCTGGACTTTGCTGGTGGTACACCAGTCCATATTGCATCCGGGGCCGCGGCACTGGCTTACTCGATGATGCTTGGCAAGAGGAGAGGCCATGGCACACATGAGCTGAATTACCGGCCTCACAATGTCACCCATATCGTCATCGGAACTGTGTTCCTGTGGGTAGGCTGGTTCGGCTTCAACGCTGGATCGGCCCTGTCGGCGAACCTGAGAGCGGTCATGGCTGCTGTTGTCACAAACCTGGCTGCTTGTGTTGGTGGAATCACTTGGTGCGTGCTGGACTATAGGCTCGAGAGGAAGTGGTCTACTGTCGGCTTCTGCTCAGGCGTTGTTGCCGGCCTGGTTTCTATCACTCCCGGCTCAGGTACGTCTCCAAACCCTTCAATGAATGTCCCACCTGACTTAACATTTCCAGGTTACGTCCCAGTCTGGGCAGCCTTGCCCTTTGGCGCACTAGGGGCCGGCTTCGCCAATTACGCCACCAAGCTGAAGTTCCTTCTTCGTATCGACGATGCCCTTGACATCTTCGCAGTCCACGGCATGGGTGGCTTCGTCGGAAATGTGTGCACGGCCTTCTTCGCCGCAGACTACATCGCGAGATTGGACGGGGTCACTGAAATCTCTGGAGGCTGGATCAACCAGCACTGGATCCAGATTGGATACCAGCTTGCGGATTCATTCTCCGGAGGGGCGTACTCTTTCGTTGGGACATGTCTCATCCTGTTCATCATGAACCTGATCCCCGGCCTTCACCTCCGTGCGAGCGAAGAAGCCGAGATTCTGGGCATCGACGATGCGGAGATCGGCGAGTTTGGTATGCCCCAATTACCCTCTCAGACCTCAATTGGTGCATGGGAACTCGGACTGACCAAATACACAACAGCATACGACTATGTCGAGCTCACGCGAGAAGTCCTGAACGATGTTGAGGCCGACCCGGACGCAAACAGCAGATTCTCAGGGGATGCTCAGAGTTACGACCCTAGAGAGAAGAACAGAGGCATACCGCTCATGGACTCTCGCATGTTCAGCAGCGCACAGACATCTCACCAGTAAGCGATCATCCAACCAGCAAGCAAGAGCCAGGTCCACAGATACCACATTTCTTTTCCTCTCTATCGTCTCTGGTGCTCTGTTTTATCTTTCTCGTCGGTCAAAGTAGCTGAGGGTTTACTGTTGAGGGCATTAAGGCTTTCCAGCGCGACGAGTACCAAGAGCCTCATAGACCGCCGGAGTCCTGATAGAAGCTGAAATTGGTCGTTGCGATCGATACCCATTTTGGAAATTCAGCTATAAAACGAGGAGGTCGTTGTGATTTTTGTTTCGGACATGATCAGTCCAGCGCTCTTACGATTAACGGCACGACACTCACGAACCTACAAAAGAAAACTGGGCGGTCTTCTGTGTTTGTCTAGTATCGTATAGCTATATGGGTATCCCTTCCCGAGCGCCTAGACATATAGTCCGCTGCTGGGTCAGTATTTATTATACAACAATATAGTCTTGACAGTATGTTGATACATCCGGCACTTGCCTACTTTCCAGCTCATTGTGTCTCATATGGCACAATGTGTTGAACCCAGAACCAACTCGGTTGGCTCTACTGTAATGTTCTTCAGGTCCGTCGTTGCAATGCCAAAAATGATAGCGGTCGCTATCCCAGAACTGACGAGGAATGTCCTGCGCGCATTGTCGTAGCTTAGGACGTTCCCTGGAAGCGGTTCTAACGACAGCACATATCGGAAAGTCGTCGCTGCCGCCGAGAGCACGGTTAAATGATTGACATCCGGGGCCTAACTTGTCAGGGCCGTCATGAGTTGTTGCTGAACACGGTCTTTCCCACTGACACGAACAGGGCGCCGCACAGAGATTGATGGAAGGCCATGAGTGCACAGCCGATCCCTAACTTATGTTGGTGGTATTCAGCACCTTATTCACCACCAGCATGAGCTGCCGAAACCCCATGCCAAAGCCTGTTCCAAACAGAATCTGATACCCATAGGAGACGGGGCCAGCCCCGGTGGGCCTCAGCATGGTGACGAGGACCATGAAGGGCGTATAGTAGCCGAACATCGTCACCAAAACGCTAGACAGAATGGCAATCATAATGGTGGATATGAGCATAGGCAGGACGCATGGACCAGACTCGATAGCGCTGACGGCCTACACGGCCGGGAACCAGGTCGGCAGGTAATGGATCACCATGAACCGCTTCGCACCGAGACAGAACGAGAGCAGCGCAGACGGCCAGACGGAGCGCTCCCTGATGATTTACGGGGGTACCGTGGCGTCCACCTGCTTCCAGATCTCCACACCTCAAACGACGGCGAGCAGCAAGCCGGCCAGCACGAAGAGGGCGACGACAGAGGCTGAGCCCCGGAGGTATGGGCGTCCCCCGCCCCCTCCACCCCAACACACTGTAGTGAGAACAACAGACAGACTATGGCGGGTATGAAAACGACGCTGCCGATGGGGTCGAAGTGGCTTATGTGGGCCATCAGGGGCTCCTGTCTGTGCAGTGCCTGCTCTGGGGGCTGGAGGACGAGGAGGATAACGATGACGGTGATGCCGGCAGGTGGATGAGGAAACCGTCAGACGATTTCAGTCATACCCTTTCCAAAATGGACAGGATCCGCAGGGCATACCGGAATCCGGTTCCTTATACCCCACTGTCTTAAATTTGAACACTTAGAAGTTCTCCAGTCGATCATAACCTGGAAAGCCTAGAAACAGTCACAACACTCTACTAAAGCATAGCATATTTTATAGTTGTCGATGCCAAGCATGAGCAACTAGAAGTTGAGTTATTCTGTATGCCAAATATTGACCCTCTCATAAATCACCCCCTCATAAATCACCCCCTCATAAATCACTCTCAAATCACCCTCTTCTCATCTTAATTGCATCTCAGACTACATCTCAGTTAGGCAACTTTTGAGTCACTCAATGCAGTTATGAATGGAATTCAAAGATTCAATTTTGAGTCTGATCCTGCATGGGTCTGTCTGTCTCTTGACTACTGAGTGACATTTGGCGAGGACTGGGTGGGATGGCGATAGGAATGCAGAGTGGTCATGGGCGATGAGGATGGCAAGGACAGGGCTATCCAATGCAGAAACGGCATTAACCCAAATCATGCTATGGATAACATTATCCATAATCTTATAAAGGGTGGTAAGGGTTGAGTAATCATGCTTATAAACTATATAAACGCTATAAAGCTGGAAAGGGTTAATCTAGCATTAAAAAAGTGCTATTATATCTTTTCCAAGTTATTTAAGCAATAAAATAGCAATAATAAAAGGTTAAACATGATTAAATATATAATTATTAATAAAAATAAGTTTATATAACATAGTTTATTAATAAATAAAATATATTAATAAATAAAATACTTTTTTAACTTTATTTAACTTTAATTAACCTTGATATTATTTTAAAGTTAATAAATAAATAAAAAGTTAATATTAATTAATATTAATTACTTTTAATTTTTTATTTTTAATTAATTTTATTAATTTAAAATAATTAATATAAATATAATATAAATTTAAAATAAGCAACTTTTAATAAAAAACTTATATTTTATATTAAATAATATTAATTATATTATTAAAAAAATAATTTATTATAAAGTATTAAAATAAATATATTTATATTAATTAATATTAATTAAGTTAAATATATTATAATATAATAAAAATTTAATTAATTAATGTTTTTTTATAAATTTTTATATTATATTTAATTTTATTATAATTATTATATTATTATTTAATTAATTTATTATATTAATTAATTGCTTTTTTTATTTTTCTTAAATAAAAGCTTAAAATCTCTTAATTTTAAATATTTTTTTAAGTTATATTTAAGTTTTTTTAACTTTTTAATATTTAATAAATATTATATTAATATTTTAAAATATATTATTATTTATATATTTTTATTAATTAATTAATAATCTTTATAATTAATATAAAAAAGCTTTTTTAATAAATAAAGATTTTATTTTTAATAAAACTTAATTATTAAATACTTTATTAAATATTTAATAATATTTAAAAATTTTATTTTTTTTTTTAAAAAAAAGAATTATATTAAAGTTTATAAATAAATTTAAAGCTTAAAAATTATAAAATTAAAATTTTAAAAATATTTTTAACTTTTTTAAATATAAACTTAATATTATTTATTTTAAATATAAAAAACTTAAACTTAATAATATAATTAATTAAAGTATGGGAATAATACGTATGGGCATTATATGCAGCGTGCCCACGCAGTGGGTGCGCTGCAGGCAATGCACAGATTTAGAGGTGCAAGGTTTAAACTAGTCTTATTAATAGCAGCTGCCAGCCGGTGCCAGCCGGCTGCCAGCTGGCGGTTACGTGCCCCGCGCACAAACCACCATAACTAGCTTATAATTAAATAAGAAAAGGTTATAGCTTTATTATAAGCTACTTTTTATATTATAATTAAATTAATTATATATTTTATTTATTTATTATTAATTATATAAAAGCTAAATTAACATTAATTAATGCTTGCTTAATAAATATAAATAATTAAATATTAAAGAAATAAATTTCATTTCTTAAAAGCTTATTTGCTTATAATAATTTCATTAAGGAACTTTATGTTAATAATATTATAAGCTGTTAAAAAGCTTAACTAAGCATTAAAAACCAGTGTTAAGAATTATGCACCTAAAGCCATAGGAAATAAAATTGCTTAATAAACTAGTTTAAACAGGTTGGCGCAACCTTTTAATGCATTATTCTTAATAAATGGTAGCTATAAATAGTTATCTTAGCTAATAGCTTAGCTTATAGCTATTCATGCTAAGGTTATAAGTTTAATCCCTGCTATGCCTAGGTCTTAAATGTATTAGCATTGCTAATAAGAGAATATAAATAATAGCCCATGGATAAGGTGCGGTAATATTAAATTAGCGGTATTTAAGAGGCCTTATAATAGCTTATGCAAACATAAGTTACTTTATTTATAGTGCCTTAATTGTTAGGAATTATGCACTTAAAGCTATAGAGAATAAAATTACTTAATAAACTAGTTTAAACAAGCTGGCGCAACTTTTTAATACACTGTTCTTAATAACTAGTTTATAGCAATAATACTTAATCTTTAATTATATTTATTAATATAAATTAATAATAATAATAATTATAAAAAGCCTTAATTAAAAAGCTTTTCTTAATATACCTTTAAGTAATTATAACCTTTTTTAATTATTAAAAGCCTTTTTATAATATCTTTAATTATTAATTAAATTAATAATAAGCTTTACTTAATCTTATTTAATTTATAATAAATACTTAATTTTTAAGTAAGATTAATTAATTTATAATAAATATTTAATTTCTAGTTATATTGCCCTTATACCCTTAGCCCTCCTTGCAATACCCTTAAAAAGCTCTTGCTTATTACCCTTAAGAAGCTCTTGCTTAGCACCCTTAAAAAGCCCTTGCTTAACACCCTTAAAAAGCCTTTTTTTGCAATTAACGCCCCTTAGGGCACTTATTTAACGCCTTAAGCCCTTTAACCCTTTAAAAAAACCCTTAAATACTTAACAAAGCATAAAGCGCTTAAATATTTTAAAATATTAATAAATAATATTTCTTTTAAGCAATTTACGCACTTAATTAATATGCTTAATTAAAATACTTTAAAGTATTAATAAAAAAAGCAACTTTCTTAGCTAATTTAAAACCATTAAAGGGAATAAATAAGATTTATTATAAGTTTAATTTATTATAAGCTCGGCCTTAAAGGGGCTGTAAGCTGGCTAGCGCCTTTTTCCCATAAGCTGCAAAAGCAGCAACCTTTTAATTAAGCCAAAAGGTATGTAATAATTCAAGCTCCCTTGGATTATTTAGCCATATTATATAAGGCTTAGGCAATAGCCTAAGCTTATTATATAGCCCCTTTCCTTAAAACCTCCTTAATATAATAATATAATTACCCCCAAGGCTTACCCGCGATATTGCCTTTTTAAGCTAAGGTTTTTCTTTATAAAAGGGGTGCCTATATATTACGGTAAATATAACTTAAACCTTTAACCTTAAAGCTTGGATTATTTATTATAGGCTCGGCCCTAAAGGGGCTTTAAGCTGGCTAGCGCCTTCTCCCATAAGCTATAAAGCAGCAACCTTTTAACCATTAAGCCAAAAGGTACGTAATAATCCAAGCTCCCTTGGATTACCTAGCCACATTATATAAGGCTTGGGCTTCCAGCCCAAGCCCATCACATAATTATATAAATAACTTAATTAAACCTTTAAAATATTTACTTTTTAATAATAATTAATATTTAATTAATAAATATAACCTTTCCTTTTCTTAATGCTTTTTTTATTAATGCCTTTTAATAAGATTTTAAGCATAAATTACTTAAAAAGCTAATAAAGGTTAGTTTATTAAGTAATAATAATATTTAAACATTATTATTTATGGGTAAATAATTTAAGAGCTAATTATTAACTTATAAGCATAATATAAAAATGTTTTTTTTTCCTTTCCCTTTGCTTTATAATTAATTATTACAAGATTTACCTTAACGGCAATAATCTTTATATTAATAATAACCCTTTCCTTTAATAAAGAAAAGGTTATTAATATATTAAATAGCTATAAAGAATACTTAGCTTATAATTAAAATCTTTTTAAAGACTTTTAATATAAATTTAAGAAATAAATAAAGAAGTGCTTTTAAAGGATTAATTAATAGCTTTTTTATAAGCTTAAATAAATGCTTTGCTATTATAAAGTTTATATAAGATATAATTATATATTAACGGCCAAGGCATTAATTGCTTTATTAATTAATAATAAAAGTAATTAACTAGATATGCTTAAATGGCTTTAAAAGGAGTTTATAATAATAACCTTTTACTTATAATTAAAAGCATATAAACATTAATAAAAGCTTTTTAAAGAGAAAAAGCCTAAGCTAATTAAAATAAAATTAATTATTATAAAGCCAATTATTAAAAAGCTATTACCTCCTCCTTTTCATTAATTATAATCTCCTCCTTAGCTAGCAATGCCCTTAATGCAAGCTTTATAACAACAGCCTCTTTTATAATAATAATAATAACCTCTTCCTTGCTAAGAAATATAATAACAGCAGTTATTATTAGCTTAAGCTTAATTTATCCCTTAAGCACCTTAGCTAAGTTAATGATAAAAAGAAAGAAGCTATTAAAGTAATAATTAATTAATTAAAGCATGGTATTTAAACATTTTAAAGCTTTAAAGTATTAACAATTAAATAATTTAATTAAGCGATTTAAGCAACTTAAACACTTATACTTAAACATATTTATACTTAAATACTTATACTTAAATACTTACACTCAACCCATTAAAGTAATAGCTATAAGGCATTTAGCCCCTTATAACCCCTTAAAAAATAAGACATTTATATTAATTAAGTAATTTAATTAACTAAGTAATGATTTAAAGAAAAAGCATGATTTTAAAGCGTTTATATATATATATATAAAAGATTATTAATATAAGAATAATATATATAAACATTATATATAATATGCTTATATAATAAGTACGCTATAAGCAATGCATAAATTTAAAGGTATAAGGTTTAAACTAATTTTATTAATAATAATTGCTAACTGGTGATTACATGCCCTATGCATAG